AGCCCATTCCAGTATTCTTGCCTGAAGAATCCCATGGACCGAGGAGCCTGGTGGGCTACAGTCCGTGGCGTCACAAAGAGTCAGACACGACTGAGTGACTTAACTTTCTAACTTTCATAGCAGAAAGTGCTCATGAAAATCACCTGGGGAAATTTTTAAAAAAGAAATCCTAACATCTTATGTCAAACATGTACACAAATTTTCAAAAAATTCACCAGGTAATCTGAGATACCTCTAATCCAAAACTATGTAACACACTAAATTGGGCTACCTGTTTACCAGCTTCCAACCCCGAAAAGAATGACTACTCAAAAGCAGAAACTGTGGTTTTCCCATCACATGGGCCTAGAAGAATGCACTGAAGACCAACAGCAGGGGTTGCCAGACAATGCTGCTGGGCCAGACCCAAACAACTGCATGATTTTGTTGGATACATGTAGTCTACGCCTGCTTTCAATCCACAACAACAGATATATAAACAGTTTAGACAAAAACGCTATGGCTCACAAAACCTAAAACATGTACTATACAAAAAATTTGCTGACACCTGACTCACACAGTCAAGTTGAAGCTGAAGTTTAATGGTTCTATGAAGACCTACATGACCATCTAGAACTAACACCCAAAAAGATGTCCCTTTCATTACAGGGGACTAGAATGCAAAAGTAGGAAGTCAAGAAATACCTGGAGTAACAGGAATATTTGGCCTTGGAGCACAGAATGAAACAGGGCAAAGGCTAACAGAGTTTTGCCAAGAGAATGCACTGGTCATAGCAATCACCCTCTTCCAACAACACAAGAGAAGACTCTACACATGGACATCATCAGATGATCAATACTGAAATCAGACTGATTATATTCTTTGCAGCCAAAAATGAAGAAGCTCTATACAGTCAACAAAAACAAGACCAGGAGCTGACTGTGGCTCAGATCATGAACTCCTTATTGCCAAATTCAGACTTAAATTGAAGAAAGTAAGGAAAACCACTAGACCATTCAGGTATGACCTAAATCAAACCCCTATGATTATACAATGGAAGTGACAAACAGATTGAAGGGATTAGATCTGATAGAGTGCCTGAAGAACTACAGACAGAGATTCCTGACATTGTGCAAGAGGCAGTCATAAAGATCATCCCCAAGAAAAAGGCAAAATGGTTGTCTGAGGAGGCCTTACAAATAGCTGTAAAAAGAAGAGAATTGAAAAGCAAAGGAGAAAAGGAAAGATATACCCATTTGAAAGCAGAGTTCCAAAGAATAGCAAGGAGAGATAAGAACGCCTTCCTCAGTGATCAATGCAAAGAAACAGAGGAAAACAATAGAATGGGAAAGACTAGAGATCTCTTCAAGAAAATTAGAGATACCAAGGGAACATTTCATGCAAAGATGGGCACAATAAAGGACAGAAATGGTATGGACCTAATAGAAGCAGAAGGTGTTAAGAAGAGGTGGCAAGAATACACAGAAGATCTATACAAGAAAGATCTTCATGACCCAGATAATCACGATTGTGTGATCACTCACCTAGAGCCAGACATCCTAGAATGCAAAGTCAAGTGGCCCTTAGGAAGAAGCATCACTAAGAACAAAGCTAGTAGAGGCGATGGAATTCCAGTTGAGCTATTTCAAATCCTAAAAGATGATGCTGTGAAAGTGCTGCACTCAATATGCCAGCAAATTCGGAAAACTCAGCAGTGCCACAGGACTGGAAAAGGTCAGTTTTCATTTGAATCCCTAAGAAAGGCAATGCCAAAGAATGCTCAAAGTACTGCACTCATCTCACACGCTAGCAAAGTAATGCTCAAATTTCTCCAAGCCAGGCTTCAACAGTTCATGAACTGTGAACTTCCAGATGTTCAAGCTGGATTTAGAAAAGGCAGAAGAACCAGAGATCAAATTGCCAACATCCGCTGGATCATCATAAAAGCAAGAGAGTTCCAGAAAAACATCGACTTCTGCTTTATTGACTATGCCAAAGCCTTTTACTGTGTGGACCATGACAAACTGTGGAAAATTCTTCAAGAGATGGGAATACCAGACAACCTGACCTGCCTCTTGAGATATCTGTATGCAGGTCAAGAAGCAACACTTAGAATTGGACATGGAACAACAGACTGGTTCCAAATCGGGAAAGGAGTATGTCAAGGCTATATATTGTCACCCTGCTTATTTAACTTACATGCAGTACATCATGGGAAATGCTGGACTGGATGAAGCACAAGCTGGAACCAGGAGAAATTGCCAGGAGAAATATCAATAACCTCAGAAAAGCAGATGACACCACCCTTATGGCAGAAAGCAAAGAAGAACTAAAGAGCTTCTTGATGAAAGTGAAAGAGGAGAGTAAAAAAGTTGGCTTAAAGCTCAACATTCAGAAAACTAAGATCATGGCATCCGGTCCAATCACTTAATGGCAAACAGATGGGGAAACAGTGGAAATAGTGGCTGACTTTACTTTTGGGAGCTCCAAAATCATTGCAGATGGTGATTGCAGCCATGAAATTAAAAGACGCTTACTCCCTGGAAGGAAAGTTATGACCAACCTAGACAGCATATTAAAATGCAGAGACACGACTTTGCCAACAAAGGTCCATCTAGTCAAGGCTACGGTTTTTCCAGTGGTCATATATGGATGTGAGAGTTGGACTATAAAGAAAACTGAGCACCGAAGAATTGATGCTTTTGAACTGTGGTGTTGGAGAAGACTCTTGAGAGTCCCTTGGACAGCAAGGAGATTCAACCAGTCCATCCTAAAGGAAATCAGTCCTCAATATTCATTGGAAGGACTGATGCTGAAGCTGTAACTACAGTACTTTGACCACCTGATGGGAAGAACTGACTCATTGGGAAAGACCCTGATGCTGGGAAAGATTGAAGGCAGGAGGAGAATGGGACAACAGAGGACGAGATGGTGGGATGGCATCACTGACTCAATGGACATGAATATGAGCAAACTCCAGGAGTTGGTAATGGATAGGGAGGCCTGGCGTGCTGCAGTCCATGGGGTTGCCAAGAGTTGGACATGATTGAGTGACTGAACTGAACTGACCCACATGGTGAAACTGAATAATCAGCAGTGATAGTAAATGCAGCCATTTGAAAATCAAATTAACATCCATGTTAATACAGATACCTGCAGCTTTATATGTGCATTTAAGTGTATAATAAATGTCTGAAGAACAGCACATTAAATAGTGTGATGCTTGAATAAGTTCCAATGGTTGGTTAATATGGAAGAAAATTTTACTATCTATACAAACTAATACCCACTTCATTTCCCAAAATATACTATGGATTGCTGCTTTGATTACTGTGGTTAATGCATTTCTAACAATGAACCTTTTTGGGAAAACACATTTTCATTTCATTGGGAGGAAATCAAATAGCTTTTAGGATCTAAAGCCAGGACTTTCACATTAAAAAAAATGCTACTTGGTTATGTTAAAATAACACTTCACCCAACCAGCTCTCATATCTGACTTAAAACATAACTAAGAAATTAGAAACAAAAAATAGAGGCTTTTAACAAGTACACCTTCTCAGAAAGTTCCATACAAAGTAAGTGTGTATGAACCACACATATACATGTAAAGATATATTAACATATATTTAAAATATTTATATCTAAGTATATACATTTGATACAATTCATAGCTTTAATATGTAGATATATAGATAACTCAGAGCCTGTTCTTAATTATACACAATTATATACAATATATAGAGATACAGTGATTCCATAAAGATATAATGCATAAAAATTAACTCACAGTCTATCGGTTGTTTTTTTATGGGAATATAACACTATACTGGCTTCAGGTATACAATGTAATGATGCGACATTGGTTCTTTTTTATACACAATTTTTTATACACAAAATGATTATTTTGCCTTACATCTATCACTGTATAATGGGGTTTTCTAACCGTCTAAAAGCTTTTAATTTACAAATAGTTGTCCGAGCTCCTATGAGTGCCACAGCCTCCTCCAACTATTACTTGGAGCCCCTGGATCAGACATCCTCAGTATGAGGACTAGGAGAATATGTTGCCTCACCAATTTAGGGACAACGCCCCTTGTCAGCTCGGAAGCAGTTATGGAATGAGAACGACGCCCCTTTTCCCTAGGCAACATAATTCTCCTAAAAGAAAAGGGGGGAATGAGAGTCATTTCCTAGGCGGGTTGATAAGAAGTCTAGGGGTCCCCAAGGAGAGAGAGGTCTGGGATATTCAAGGAGGAAGAAAGGACAAACTTTTCAACTTTTTTTTCCTCTACATTCCTTAGGATTATATAACAATAATGTACCCTGCCTGAGGAGAGTCTTTGGATTAAACCCTCTGGCTAATCCTGTTATCTTAAAATGTAAATTATGGGAGTGGGTCTGGTGAGGTCTTTGCAGCCTCCAGACATTCTTTAGATTCATTGGAGAGTATATAACTCCATTGCTAATACTAGCAAGGGGGTACTCTTTTGCCCCCTTCTGATGCCTATGTCAGAAGCTTTCTCTATCTCCTTTATACTTTAATAAAACTTTATTACACAAAAAAAAAAAAACAATTCATACAAACTTGGTACTCTAAATTCAACAGCCAATCCAAATTAAAAATACCAAATTATAGTGGGATACTGTGTCCCAAAAGCAGGTGAACAAACTGGACAGGTGAGAAGTATCAGACGTCACCACCCTTTGGGTAATTTATAAGTTTTTAAAGCCTTATTACACAAAGTGAAGTCTCAGGACAGGGGCGGTGGAGACTTTGGGGACTCATCAGCAGACACTGGTTAGAAATGCGAAATCTGCATTTTAACAACATCTTCAGGTGACTTATATGCACAATCAGATTTCAGATCCCTAGTCCAGAAGTATTACACCGAGTTAATACTGCTAAAAGAAAACATTCTGTCTAGAATTACTCTTCCCCTTCTTGTCAATCATCCATATCCAAATGAAGGTCCAATTTCACAAAATACAATGGAAAACTTACAACAGTAGTCATTACCTTCAGCACTTGAACTTGACCATCTGTAGTAATTTCCTTTAGCAGTTCACAAAAGGACTGACATAGACCTACTGCATAGGTCTGAAATGCAATGAAAAGTCAAATTATACTTATGAATATATCTGCAATATCAAAAAAGGCATAATATTGAATTTGGGATTCATAATCTATTTGAGTATTAGATACTAAAGCTCTAAGTATATAAAATTTCAATTAGAACTCTGTAGGAAAAGTTTAAGAAATAAAAATACAGCTTACTGTTATTCTGATTTTTATAACAATATAAGGATATATTTATATGTAGAGCATAATTTCTGTGTTAAATAATGTAATTCATGGAACTGCATCACATTTGCAGTGGGCAATGCTTATGACGATCCCCCCAACCAAAGTAATAAATCAATTTTTTAAACTTTGAAAGAGCTTCAAAATAAGATTTCCAATTTCAAAGAGGAAACAATGAAATAATAACTATATAAATTCTAACAATGCAAAAACTACAACATACCTGTAAAAATTCTGTTGATGATAAAAAGATATAACCATTGATGATCTTAAAGCAGGTTCTGAGACTTTCTGAACTCAGTTCTGCCAAAATAGCAATAATAATAAAGAACAAATTAATTAATTGTTCAAAGTCAGTTTAAATGAAGCGATTCATTTAAAGCTAAGCTACATGCCCTTCTTTACAAATTTTTTCTGAATGCTATTCTGACTGATAATATATCAATATCCATCTAAAAACTGGCATTAACCTGTAACTTAATGCTTTCCATATACCTCCCATTAGTTAAAACAACTTAGAAAACACTAAGCTCCCTTTTCTTTCCTTTTAGAAAATAACTACATAATCCAACCTTTCACTTCAAATTAAATTTCTAGTACCAGTATGACAAACCACATGCAACTGAATCATTTTACCATCATATTTTGACATCTGCTTAAATGGGTTCATTCAATAAGCATTTACTGAGTGTCTACTGTGCTGGCATTGAACATGTAACCCTACTTAAAGGAGTGCCTGTTATACTTTGAAAATTATAATTCTCAATTCTTGGGCTTTGTTATTCAAATCCACTCCCCTATGAAAAACCTACACATAGAAAATGTTCTTAAAAGTATTATTACCAGAATAGTATAGGAAAATAATATTGTTTTTAGGTATTCCTTTCAAAGTGCAAAGCAAAAAAACATTTTGTTAAAACTGAGTATGATCAAATGTTTATGCAGTGCTATTTTACATGTCTTATCACAAACAATAATGATAAAACAGAATATAGATTACATGTATTTATTATACAAATCAAAACATGATCCCCAAAATATCATCTTAATCTAAAACTTTTCATTTTGTATTGCTACTATTTTATTTTTTTCCATTTATTTTTATTAGTTGGAGGCTAATTACTTTACAATATTGTAGTGGTTTTTGTCATACATTGACATGAATCAGCCATGGAGTTACATGTATTCCCCATCCCGCTCCCCCCTCCCACCATCCTCTCCACCCAATCCCTCTGGGTCTTCCCAGTGCACCAGCCCCGAGCATTTGTCTCATGCATCCAACCTGGATGATCTGTTTCACCCTTGATTATATACATGTTTCGATACTGTTCTCTCTAAACATCCCACCCTCGCCTTCCCCCACAGAGTCCAAAATTCTGTTCTGTACATCTGTGTCTCTTTTTCTGTTTTGCATATAGGGTTACTGTTACCATCTTTCTAAATTCCATATATATGTGTTAGTATACTGTATTGGTCTTTATCGTTCTGGCTTACTTCACTCTGTATAATGGGCTCCAGTTTCATCCATCTCATTAGAACTGATTCAAATGAATTCTTTTTAATGGCTGAGTAATATTCCATGGTGTATATGTACCACAGCTTCCTTATCCATTCGTCTGCTGATGGGCATCTAGGTTGCTTCCATGTCCTGGCTATTATAAATAGTGCTGCGATGAACACTGGGGTACACGTGTCTCTTTCAGATCTGGTTTCCTCAGTGTGTATGCCCAGAAGTGGTATTGCTGGGTCATATGGCAGTTCTATTTCCAGTTTTTTAAGAAATCTCCACACTGTTTATAGCAGCTGTACTAGTTTGCATTCCCACCAACAGTGTAAGAGGGTTCCCTTTTCTCCACACCCTCTCCAGCATTTATTGCTTGTAGATTTTTGGATAGCAGCCATTCTGACTGGTGTGTAATGGTACCTCATTGAGGTTTTGATTTGCATTTCTCTGATAATGAGTGACGTTGAGCATCTTTTCATGTGTTTGTTAGCCATCTGTATGTCTTCTTTGGAGAAATATCTGTTTAGTTCTTTGGCCCATTTTTTGATTGTGTCATTTATTTTTCTGGAATTGAGCTGCAGGAGTTGCTTGTATATTTGTGAGATTAATCCTTTGTCTGTTGCTTCATTTGCTGTTATTTTCTCCCAATCTGAGGGCTGTCTTTTCACCTTGCTTATAGTTTCCTTTGTTGTGCAAAAGCTTTTAAGTTTCATTAGGTCCCATTTGTTTATTTTTGCTTTTATTTCCAATATTCTGGGAGGTGGTTTGTAATTTATGTCAGAGATTGTTTTGCCTATGTTCTCCTCTAGGAGTTTTAGTTTCTGGTCTTAAATTTCGATCTTTAATCCATTTTGAGTTTATTTTTGTGTATTGCTACTATTTTATAAATCATATGCACTTGCAATAGGACAGATTAAAAAATGTTTCCTGGCAAAAGTGTAGGTTCTGGGTTCTTATCTAACTCATAACCTACAAAGTAAGAAGATAGTCTATTTAGATGAGAATGACCCATAAAAGACGCTTGCTCCTTGGAAGAAAAGCTATGACCAACCTAGAGAACATGCTAAAAAGCAGAGATGTATCTTTGCCAACACAGATTCATCCAGTCAAAGCTATGGTTTTTCCAGTACTCATGTACAGATGTTAAGAGTTGGACTATAAAGAAAGCTGAATGCTGAAGAATTGATGCTTTTGCACTGTGGGGTTGGAGAAGACCCTTGAGAGTCCCTTGGACTGCGAGGAGATCCAACCAGTCAATCTTAAAGGAAATCAGTCCTGAATATACACTGGAAGGACTAATGCTAAAGCTGAAACTACAATACTTGGTTACCTGATGTGAAGAACTGACTCATTGGAAAAGATCCTGATGCTGGGAAAGATTGAAGACAGGAGAAGGGGACAACAGAGGATAGGATGGTTGGATGGCATCACCAACTCCTTAGACATGAGTTTAAGCAAGCTCTGACAGTTGGTGATGGACAGGGAAGCCTAGTGTGCTACAGTCCATGGGGTCGCAAAGAGTCGGACACGACTGAGCAACTGAACTGAACCCACCCATATATTTTTATCAGTAGATGAAAAACATACCCCAAATTCAAAATGTTTCAAAGGAATTATTTTGCGTATTTTAGGATTGAACATATCAGTTAAAATGAGAATGTAGAGGGGACAGAGACTAACCAACTCGTTACCATGCTCATCAAAGACAGAAATAACAAAGGTTGTCACCTAAGTATACGACAGTGTTAGTATCTCAGTCGTGGGCTCTTTGCAAGTCCATGAACTATGGCCTGCCAGGCTCCTCAGTCCATGGGCAAGGACACTGGAGTGGTTTGCCAATCCCTTTCCTAGGGATCTACAGACCCAGGAATCGAAGCTGGGTCTCCTGCACTGCAGGCAGATTCTTTACGATCTGAGGCACCAGGGAAGCCGTTTCACAATAGAAGTAAGATAAAATGTCAGGATAAAAGGATAGACAATTATATTGGATAAAGTTATCCTTAGGAAAACTTCACACTGTCCTTTTCTCCTTAAGTAGCAAGTTCAGTCAAGTCTGAACTTGGGCACATTGTTTAACAGATAAACAATGAACAGCAAACTACTTGGCCACCACTGTGATAAATAAGGCAGAAGGGTCTACACTTAAGTAAGAAATCAGAATGGTTACATTGCGGGTATGTCTCCACATATAATTTCTAAATCATTGCCATCTAAAATTTTACCAAGGTCTAGGAAGAAGAAAACAATATTTAAGAAAGATTTGATTTTGAAAACCATAGTTCCCATCTCTTCTCACAGATATTTTAAAAGCTATTTCTAGATTGACGTATACAAGCAAAAGCAATTAAGTCACTTTATACTGTTTTCCATGTCTCCATCATGCCAAGTACAGCTTATACTAAGGATGCTATCTTCAACAAATACTACATACTAATAGTAAAAAAAACAGCCCTAAAATTAACAAATTTATCTTCAAGTATATTGAACACTGTTCATTGTATCTATGAGTTCCTAGTAAAACTGTGATTTAAAAAAAAGTTATTGTCTCATCCAAGTATCAAGAGGAGTTTACCATTTAATAGATCTGTATTTATTTTTAGACTATGAATCATTTAATTCAAATGCTCTCAACCATGGGCAATTTTGCCCTTGAGGGGACATATGGCCATGTCTGGAAACTTTGGCTGTTAAAACCAGCATCCAGTGAGTTGTAAGCATGCTACTAAGTGTCTTACAATGCACTAGATTCCTCAAAAGAAAGGAATTAAAAGACGTTTCATGGGTAAGTATTAAAGATTGGGAACTCTGAGTGGAATAAGCGTAAACAATTTTTACATTTTGTAAATAAACGATGTTTTTAAATGGCAGTAGTGTGCAGATTGAAAAAGAAGCAAAAGGACAGTAAACAGCACTGTATACAACTCTTAAATAGTCTATACGGTTTAAATGTGAATCTGCACTGGTAACAATTACACACAAAATAACTCTATAGACAGTATTTTTTGTAAATTTAAGATATCACATACTTGTGAATGGTAGCAGATATGTAGCAGAAAAGCATTGGCTTTCTATGGTTAAGCATCATCAGCATACATGTTCACGTTCAGAAAGGAACCAAACTACGTATCATCCATGGTAGCTGACAGAGACCAAAGAGCCTAATCCTAGCACAGTGTCTCCTTCTCTGGTGTCGCATGTCAAAAGTGTTGCTTCAAAACATTAAGCTTCCTGGGTCTTCCCTGGTGGTCCAGCAGTTAAAGAATCCGCCTTGCAATGCAGAGGCAGAGTTCAATCCCTGGTCAGGGAACTAGATCCCACAGGCCTCAGAGCAACTAAGCCAACGCGCCACAACTAGAGTCCACACGCCACAACAAAAGATCCCACAAGACACGACGAAAATCACACAGTGAAGACCCTGTGTGCCGCATCTAAGACCCAACAACTAGCCCTGACTCCGCCGAATAAATAAAGAACTTTTAAAAAAGAAAATTAAGCTTCCTTATTTCAAGCTCATATATAAATAATACCTCAACAAACAATAAATACTTTTCTAATATTTAATAATCTTTATTTTAGTGGTTCCTTAGCTAAATCAGAAATATGTATAGAGCTCATTTATGAACAACTGATATAACATGAATGACTTTTCAATTAAGTAAATTTAGTGTTTGCTCTTTAATACACAGAAATAGTTCTAAAAAGTTATACTGTAGGAAAAAAAATTCAGAAACTATTAAAATACTACCCAACTTATATCTTAAAATCAAGGGTTTATTAAAAATGGAATGTATAATTTACAGCTACCTCTAAAACAGTAGTAATTTTATGTTTTAAAACTTACCTAGAAGTGGTGACATATTCTGAAATATACGAAGCAACTCTGGTGTAATACATGGGCTGTTTTCCAAAGTCACTAACCTAGGAAGGGGGAAAGTAAAACAATGATTAAATCATCTTCCACAGCCTTTAAAGCTATTAACAATACAACTTAAGTATTTCAAAAACTGTCCCATTTAAAGGAAGAAAGCAAAATAGACAATACAGAGAATTATTTTTTTTAAAAAGGGGGACTACTCAGTCTTTTTGTGGTGAGACACCAAACCTCTCCTCCATACAAAATACAGAAATTAATTCCAGGATTTATATGAGAAAAGTAGGTTTTACAAAAGGTCAGAAGATTTTTATGGCATTAGATTAGAAAAAGTCTAGAAAAAGACTGATAAATACAACTACAGTAAAGTTAACAACTACTATGTACCAAAAGCTGTCTCAAAAAAAATTAAAACATAAAAGTTACATACTGGGAGGAGATTTTTTTTTAAAAGTCAAGAGAAAAATGGACAGAACACATGAACAAATATTTCACACAAGATACAATGGCTGACAATAAACATGACTTTAATATATCTAACTAGTAATCAAGAAAATATAAATTATAACCAAAACAAGGTACAATTTTATCCCATCAATCAGCAAAATATTAAGCGTGACACACCATGTACTGTCAAAGCTATAGAACAGTAACCTGCACACTGCTAACAGCAGTGCAAGTTGATACAATCACGTCGGGAAACAGCTCCTATCCAGTAATACTGAATATGTACATGTGTATATAGCTATCACCTGGACCTATTTCTAGGCAGAAATGTTTACAGGGCATATGGTCTTATACATTTGCTCTAGGAGTCATGCACAAGAATGTTCAGAGTTAAATTATGTGAACATCAAAAAAAGTGGCAAATGAGTAAGTGAATCATTACAGTCACACCATTAAGCTCCTCACTATGGATCAATCTCAAAACAGGAAGCAAAAGAAGCAAGTTAGAACATACATGATATAATTCATAAGAAGTTAAAATATACTGTTTAGAGATACACACACATATGTGACTTTAAAAATATAAAAACACAAGAAAGAAACTCAAGGAATGAAAACAAAAAAATTGGTAGTGGGTTATCCCAGCATGGAACAAACTTGCCATACCATGGGTTTCACAGATATTCTCACTGTTCTATTTCTTACCCAGAATATGGAAAATGAATTTTCATTTTATATAAGTTATAAATAAACAACATGACCCCCATATTATTTTATGTCTAAGAAATACTTCACAAATGTTAAATGACAAAATGAGGTAATCTAGGCAGGGGATTACACAGGGAAAGCCAGGTACCCCCAAAGGAAGTACTTCTCAATAGCACAAGGAATGACATCTTTAGACACCTTAACTTGATCAACAGTAACAGGATTTTAAAGAGAAAGACAAATACCATATGATATCATTTACACATGGAATCTAAAATATGGCACAAATAAACCTATCTACAAACAGAAACAGACTCGGACACAGAGAACAGGCTTGTGGTTCCCAAGGGGGAGGGAGAGAGGAGGGAGACGGACTGGGAATTTGGGGTTAATAGATGCAAGCTGTTACATGCAGAATGGATAAACAAGGTCCTACTGTATGGCACAGGGAACTATACTCAACATCCTGGGATAAACCATAATGGAAAAGAATATAAAAAAGACTGTACGTGTGTGTATAACTGAGTCACTCTAGTGTATGGAAGATATTAACACAACATTGTAAATCAACTATATGTTAATAAAAAACCAGTTTAAAAAAAATAATAACAGGATTTCATTTCATTTTTAAAGAATAAAATTTCAGGGAAGGTTAAAAAAAATCCTATTCATCTTTAAAACAACCATGAAACCAAAAGAAAAGCCCCACTCCAGTCCTGAGGTTTCACTGAGAAAAACATTGAAAGGCATATTCTAAATGCTAGAAGATGTTTAAAAACACTCTTTTACTCAACAGATCCAGAAAAGAATCTATCTGAAGCTTGCTCTTTCCCTTCCACCATCATTACTTTAGTAAAAACGCCACTCAAGTCACTGTCACTCTCACTTTTATGGCAGCTTCCATAGCATAAACTATGCTATTCCAAAGAGGGAAAAGATTTGAAGAACTGAAACTACTTAAAAATAAAATTACATGATTTATAATTTCATATTAAAAAATAAAGACTTGGAAAGGAGAGGAAGTGAGAAAAAGTCAAAACACTAAATTCTTTACCATCAAGGAAAAGGAAAAGTTAACTACTTTGATGAATAATTAGACAAAGATATATGTACCTATATCTTTAGAGAAATCCAAATTTAATGTTAACCTTCCAAAAAATGTAGAGAAGAGAGGTCATAGAGTAAAAAAGATGAATCAATTCAACAAATAAATATACAACTATAAAAGTTCTTTTGAAGTAAAGCATCCCTGGTTAGGTTAAAATGTAAAATTAAAAAATTTGCTCTGTATAGGAACATAACTAAATTTCAAATAAAAAAGCTAAGATGTAAAAAAGATGAACATAGATAGTTAAATCAAATCTAAACAAAACAGGGCTTCTCTGGTGGCTCAGTGATAAAGAATCTGCCTGCCAATGCAGGAGACACGGGTTTGATCCCTGATCTAGGAATAACTGCCCCCACCACCCCCATGCCACAGAACAACCAAGCCCTTGCTCCACAACCATTGAGCCTGTGCTCGAGAGCCTGGGAGCTGCAACTACTGAAGCCTGTGTGCCCCAGAGCCTGTGCTCTGCAACAAGAGAAGCCACCTTCAGTGGGAAGCCCACTACTCCAAACTACAGCATAGCCCCAACTCACCTCAACCAGAAAAAAGCCCATGCAGCAACAAAGATTCAGCAAGCCAAAAATAAAGTAAAAATTTTTTAATCTAAATGAAACAAACCATACAATATTAATATAAGATTAAATGCAAAAGAATTTAAACACTGTACACATATATTACATCACGTTACTTCATAAAAAAATTTAAATATATTTTATTTCTTAAATCTTATAACACTAAGCAAAAGTATCAAAATTTTGTGCACTGAATATCTTGTTTAACTTACAGTTCAAAAATGCTAGGAATAAAAAGGGGCACTCACATGAAGAAAACTGAATGGGATATTTTAATAGATCAGTGTTAGGATAAAAAACCAAACTAATGTGAACAAACAATCTGCAAGTTAAAAAGAATAGATATCATAGATATTCATGAAAGTCTGCATCTTTGATACTATCATTACTATTTATGTGAATATATTACTATGTAAGTCATTAAAATTCAAATTAAGTTTAAAAAACTTGTACAAGTGGTATGTTGTATTTACAATGCAATAAATCCAGGCCTAAATCATTTACTTTAACATCAGCAAAAAAAAAAAAAACAATGTTGGGTCAAATAAGTCATGGGGGGAAAAAAAATCACATAATCAATCTGAAGAATTTCACTTTGCATATAACAAATAACTTGTACCTCCCTATCAGTTCAAATTTCCTTTCCCCAAGGTAACTGTTTTATACTTTTGTCCCCACAAATCTTTCTCATCTTATTTAATACTCCCATTCCAGCCCATAACACTCAGTTGATGACTATCCTTCATACTTTGTTGAGAAAACAGACGTTATGAGATGGAATATCCTCCCATCTTATTCTACTACAATACAGAAATCTCTCTCTCTGTCTCCAGTTAGAATAGATGAAATATCCCTGCTATCTAAAGGAGAAAAAAGAAAAAAAAAAAAATCAACCCCTCCACTTAACGCTGAATCCCATCCCTTCTTGCCTCCCTCAATTATCTCACTCTCTTGAGCCTCATCATACCTCCAGATCTTCATTCCTACACTGGCCAACTGTTGCCCAACTTCAACATCGTCTTCACAGTAGAAGCTCTCGAAACAACTCTTCAATGCTCACAGGCTGTACTTAACTCCAATTTATTCTTCAGTCTACTCTCCTCCTCCTCCTGTTCTCACGACTCCACTGAAACCCCTCCTATCATCTCCCTTCACTCCTTACTATGGACTACTCGTGACAATCAACAACATCTGACATAATTAACCATTCCCTCTTTTAAGACATATTCTCTCTTGGCTTGGTTTTCCTCCTCTGATAGCTTCTCATGTGACCTCAAAATTTTTTCCTCTGGATTCCGCCCAGAACACTGTGTTCTCTATTTGCCCTTTTCTTCCGAGGCAATCTCACCAATTCTCAGACTTTACAAATCATACATATCATGTTCTAACCACTTTACAAACAGCATCTCATGCTCATACAACCAAGTCAGGTAGAAATTATTTTTCCTCATTTCACAGATAAGAAAAGATGTAATCATCAGAATATGATTGCAAACCTAATGTAGTGGTACATACATGGGACTGCCTACCTATGTTCCGAATAGAGGAGTTTTGGAATACTGATTCCAAACAGGAGTTCTAGCCCCCTAAGAAAATTATATTAAGAAATATGTACTTTGATTTTTTAAAGTATCTTAGCATTAGTAAATCTGATAAACTTTTAAAATGCATCCTAATGATTTAATTTTGTTTATATATAATGAAAGGCTAGGAAAAAAAGGAATTACCATTAGTAAAGCAATGCATTCAATGCATTCCTACTATCTGTTAATATAATCCTTAAAAAATGTGTACACCTTTCATTCACACATTAATATACTAAATCTGTAACTATACTGATAAACATATGAGTCTACCTCTTTATTATTTTCATGTTATGATAAATAGTGTGTGTATATATATATATACACATATATATGTTTACAGAAAAGAATCTATTTGCCAGAGATTACTATTTAATTTGTAATCTAGAATAGAAGCTGGCAAACTACAGCTCATGGGCCAAATCCAGTCCACACCCTATTTTTATAAATGATGTCTTGCTGGAGCACAGCTGCAGCCATTTGTATAGACTGTCTATGACTGCTCTGACCCTGCAACAGCAGAGCTGAATCTCTGGGACAGAAAGTACAGAGCCTGGGAAGCCTGCCATCTGCTCCTTTACAGAAAAAGTTTGCCAACCTCTGTTCTAGAATAACCCACACTGTACAAATAAAAATATACGAATATAAAAGACTCCAACACACTTTAGTTCACAACCAAACCATCCAGAAGTCATTTAAATTCAAACAATATAACCTAGAAAATATGAGAAACACAAATTGCAAATTAGTAAGTATCTACCTAGATATGTTTTTAAATTGTTCATCTAGTATTCTGATTTGTTGTTGCTGTTGTTTACAGACCATTCATTCAGCATTTGCACCAAAAACAATTTCTAAGAATCAAAAAACTGTTCACTCCTACATCCAAGGAAAACTGAAGGAAGGAAGAGGAGAGGGGAAGGAATGACAGAGGGAGACACCACAAATGTTTCCTTTTTTCTGTGTTTACTTTCTTTGATTTGCTTTTTTAAATTCCAATACTAGGTTTTTTACACTGGAGTTTTAAAAGCTTTCCTGTATTACTAACTACATCTTAAGTAGATTTGCCTCAAAGAAAACTGCTGCCATCAGTAAGATGAAGCAAAAAGATTTCGAGTCAATGCTCAGCCTGTGTTTACTTAACTCCAATTCATTCATTCACTACATAATTCGTGGCTCTGAGATGCCACACAAACAGGGTCCGATTGTTTTCACTACTTAACACTGTATACTACTATACTCAGTAAAATAGGAAGTCAAGACTAAGTAGCATTAACATTTGGGGCTGAGGTATTTTATCCCAATATTTATAGGGTAAAGCACTAAGAAGTTGAAAATAACTCAATAACCCCGCAAACATCCCATTTAACAGTGTGGAGGTTTTTATGTCAATTTTTAGTTCTGGTCAAGATTCCTCATTTCACATTTCAAATTCCAAAAGATGAAATGCAGCTGAGTTCTTACTGAAACTTCCTCTCTAACTTTTACTATTACAAGCCTACAATGAGTGACAGATGCAAAGAAAAGTAGGAGTTATTATGTTACCCAGTTCAGGGAAACCGACTTTATGTTTCTGTTTTTAAATGCTGAGTTTTTAACCCTATTACATGACCTTTGCTTTATTGGCATGAGTAGGGAAGCCCAGGAAAATAAATAAATAAGATTCACAGTATCAAGTTTTTCCTCTTACCATAATTCTAAACCATCTTCCAGAAGATAAACATGTGGAGGCTGGGAAACATCTGTACTCAGTTGAATAACTGGGAGCAGGAAAGGGTACAGGTTCTTGCTGTCTGCTCCTAATCCCTATGGGAAGTATAAATAAAACTTAACATAGATAAATCTAAGGTCCCACCTCCCACCAAAAAAATCACCTATCATATTAAAAAGCCCTAAAACCAATTTATACAAAAATCAACCAATCAGCTTTTAAAAGGATGATTCTAAGAATTATTAAAACAAAATTAGTTCTGTTTACAAATGGAAATCAGTAGTAAAAAAATATTATTCAATTGCCTAATGGTAGTAAAACCATATAAATCAAGGTTACAAATATATGTTCATTTTAAGAGATGTCTCATATACATATTTATTTTTCCTTCCATGATGACTGAAGATGTGTAAACAGTGACGTGTTAAATTCTACAAATTATCTCAACTAAATAACTAAGCTAAAAAGAACCTAATCTAAATGTTCATCAGTTAAGATAACTACATTATAATACCTTCATATTCTAGAATACTCAGTAACCATGAAAAAGGATTAAGCATGGAATGAAAACAATCTCAAAAATAATGACAAATTGGGATTAAAAAGAAGGGTGTATAACAATTCCACAAGCCAAACAAGTTTTTTAATAGCCATATATCTGGTATAAAGATATACACATAAAAAAGTTTCTTGGGAGCAAACAGAGAAAACTGTTGACACTAGTTAAATATGAGTGTTGGAAAAGGATGCTGGGAGGGGTAAGAGGAGTCTTTGTTTTTTTAATGTGTTCATTTTTTAAATAAAGAATTTATATAAAAAAATAAAGAATTTATGCCAAACTTTTAATACGTTAAGAAAACAAAGATGGAGGAAGAAGAGAAGGATTTTAATTTAAAATTCTCATTGACTAATTACTGTCTATGGAGGTTGACTCAGTGCATCACACTAAATCTAAGCACTTTGAAAGGAATAAAAAAGGATAGAAAATCAATTTCTAACTCATAATAATTTCTACAATCTAATAAGCAAAGAAAGGAAACCAAACAAACTATCAAACACCTCCTCACTTAGAAAATAATTCAGATGTCAATACAATTAATATATAATTACAAAGCAACAAAATGTATATGAATGCCTCTTTTAATGACACACACATACATATAAAGTCAAAATTTCATCAGCGGCATATAGATACTTCAGTGGAAATACAGTAAGTTTATTCTTAAATACATTAGTTTGGGCCTTTCTACAACTATGCAAGGGTTGACAGACTTTATTAAAGATTTTTCCAAAGAGAAGATTTATTAAAATGTCACATTTAATAAAGTAGCAAACTGGACCTTAAAATTCAGTTAAATTTCACTCTCCACAGCTCAATTCTTAACAAAACAAAAAAAGAAAAAAAATTAAGGAAAACTAATCAAGTTCAGTTTTTAATATCAATAGACAATATTTCCTAGGAATGTTAGAATCTACTTACTTAGTGCACATTCTAATGAGCACAAAACGCTAGCATGAGCAAAACTGAAGTGAGTAACTGCTAAACATAAAAGACTCAGTTAAAGCGTCAAGAAATTTAGATTTGTAATCTAGTGGGTTGAAGAATGTGTCTAACCCCAGACATGCAGCTTTAAGTAAGTTTGAACACTTTCGATCCACACCTGTAACTATAAAACAATATCTACAATTCTGTGAAATGACTGCAGTTACAGTTACAGTGAAGCAGGGAGAAAAGAACAACGCTCTCTAAAAAGTGTGTTTCTCAGGGTACCGTCTCTGGCTCTCTTCTCAAGTGCTGTGTACTTGCTGATAATGCCCAAATCTATCATTGCCAACCCAAAACCTTTGAACTCCAGACACTCCTTATGACACAGGAAATCATCAACCAGAAGGCATCCCAAACTCTCAAGTAAATCACTGAACCAACCCACTATCTTCCTTAAAAATAGCTCCTGTTCCTGCATTTCCTAACTCAAGTGACATGAACCACTGTCTACAGAGCAAAAAATTATACCACAACTACCTCCTGTGCTTCTTCCCCCTCACCCCAAATCTAAGCAATCCTTAATTCTATCTCAAATTCTCCCCCTTCTTTCCATGGCTTTACTTCACATCATCGTCTCTTTCACGGTTAACAGAAGAGCCTCCCAACTATTTCTTTGACCTTACTTTTACTCCACTCCAAACCAGTGTCCCTACTGGTGCACTGATTACCTTTCTAAAACACAAATGATAACACTCCTTCCTCTGAACTTCAAGACACATTCTTTATGCCTCCCTAACCAGGCCCCAGGCTTTCCTGGTGGCTCAGTGGTGAAGAACCTTTCTGCCAATGCAGGAGACCTCGGTTCGATCCCTGGGTCAGGAAGATCCTCTGGAGAAGAAAGTGGCAATTCACTCCAGTATTCTTGCCTGGGAAATCCCAAGAACAGAGGAGCCTGGCAGGCTACAGTCCATGGGGTTGCAAAAGAATCAGACACGACTTAGCAACTAAGCAATAACAACAAGAACTGGCCCTTACACCCAACTGTGATACTCAATGCTGCAGCTATACAAAATGACTCTGTATTAGAAATCACTATGTTAGCATCTGGAGAAAGCTGATGGATATAACACATGCATTTACTACTGTGCTCTCCCAAGATCCACTAAAAGGGTATATGAGTATGTGCTTTTAAAGACCTAGAACTCTAAGTACAAAGACAGCTTAAGAAGAGATAAAAGCAACTTATTTTTGGAAGCAGGAAAGAAAGACTGATTTAGCAGACTCAGAAAACCAAAGCTCAAAGCCAGTAGTGAAAAAGGGCAAGAAACCACCTGATCTACACTACAGAAACTCCAGAAGACTTGGGAACTGATAGCACAAGGTTATTTTGGAAAGGGAAGCTGAAGGGAAGTATTAAAAATAATAGGACCTGTAGAAGGTATTTTAAAAGACATCTGATGACAAGATCTCATCCTTGTGCATAGTCAAACAACTGGCCCTCTTTAATCAGTACAGATTTGGCCATTTACTCTCATAATGTAAAACAAAGCATCTGAAGACAAGGAGACATCAGGTAATCAAGACTAGGGATACTATATAAAACAGTGATATAATATAATGGGCAAAAGATTGATGGATCTTTCACTAAGGAAAGATCTCAGAATCACAGAACCAAAACATTTGTCACATACAAAAAAAAGCTTCCGGCTAGACTATTCTAAAGAAAAAACCCACAATCAGCAAGTTTCCCATATATATTCAATCCTTTTGATTAACTTTTTAGTGCCCACTCTAAAATATAAAATTTATACAGACAAAATATTGATACAGCTCTTGAGGTTGAGAAATGGTTACCTAAGGATTCATTATACTGTTCTTCCTTCTTTTGTGCATGCTTCAAAGTTTCACAAGAAAATAAAAAGAGAAGGCAACCGATCACATCAACAGATACGATTGAAGGAAACAGAGACCACATATAGAGATAAAAGCTTATAAAAATACTAATATCCTTATTAGAATAAAACACTGTATTCATGAAACAAAAATGAAATGATTTTTCAACAATACAAATTATTGTATCTGTATACAAATGATTGTATACAAATATAAAATGATTATTCAACAATACAAAAAAGAACTCATTGAGTGAGGACAGACAAAACAGGGTTATGGGATTAAGAGTCACAAACTAACATGTATAAAATAATCAACAAGGATACATGACACAGCACAGAGAAATACAGCCATTATTTTGTAATAACTTCAAATGGAGTATATCTATAAAAATATTGAATTGACTATGTTGTACACCTGAAATTTATACTATAAATCAACTATACTTCAATTCAAAATAAATAAATAAAATTTTAATTAAAAAAAAAAAGTACTCATAGACATTAACAGTATTACAGCAGGAAAGAAAAACTCAACAGAAAGACTGAAAGATAAAGCTCAAAAAATTCCCCAAAAGGACAAAGAGAAGGGAAAATAGACATGAACAGTAAGAAAAATATAGGGCTGAGTCATTCATCTATCATCTAAGTAACAAGAAGCTCAGAAAGAGACAAAACAAAAACATGAAGGTGTGGAAATAATCAACAGAATGTAATAGTGTTATCTAGAACCCAAGAACATGAATTTCCAGTTTGCAATATACATCAAGTGTCCAGAACGGTGGAATGAAAATATACCCACATCATCATGAAATTGAAAACAGAAACACAGAGATCATATAAGTTGCCAAAGGGAAAGAAGAGATGACACATTCAAGAAACAAGAATTAAAATGGCTAAGGATTCCTAAGAGCAACTCCAGAAGCTAGAAGACACAGGAAAAATGCCTCTAAAGGGGTAAATTTAGAATTTTACACCCAGCCAAACTACTAGTCAACATGAAAACTATAAGGCATTTTCACACATGCAAAATCTTGACAAAATTTACCCCCCAAGTACCTTTTGCAGAATGCCACAGACATTCGTGGGCTCCAGCAGAAAGAGGAAGTCATAACAAGGAAGAAGACAGGTACAGAAAACAGGCATCCTACAGAAAGGATAGGCAAGAAGAACCCTTCTGATGACACTGAAAGGGGATCCAGTTATAACAGCCATGAACAAGCATAGAGTAAAAACCACTGCATACTAAAGCTCGTATGAATTTTCCAGATTCCAAGATGATGAAAGTAATAAAATACCTGATGTGTGTGAACATACTGAGGGAATATTTAGGTAACAGGTGGACAGAATAGATTGTTACATAGAAAGCTAAATGTAGCAGGCAGAATTCTAAGATGACCACCTATGACTCAACTTCATAACTTCAGTGTACACAGACCATTCTCCAGTTACTCAATCAAATGCTAATTTAGATATTACTTTCCAGATGTGATTAAGGTCTCAAACTGAATGATCTTATAATAAGAAAATTGTACAGATTAGCCTGACCTAACCATGTGAACCCTTCTAAAGAGTTTTCTTTAGCTAGTTGCTAAAGAAAGAGCTTTCTTTAGCTAGTTTTCTTTAGCTAGTTAAGAAATTCAAAACCTGAGGGGATTTGACAACCAAGAATTTCCCCACTGCTGATGATAATGATGGAAGGGGTCATGATCAAGGAATGTGGCTGGACTCCAGAGACTGGGAGGGCCCCCAAGGCTCCCCCTGGTAGCTCAGTTGGTAAAGAATCTGCCTGCAATCCAAGAGGCCCTGGTTTGATTCCTGGGTCAGGAAGATCCCCTGGAGAAGGGAATGGCTACCCACTCCAGTATTCTGGCCTGGAGAATTCCAAGGTAGCCTGGCAGGCTACAGTCCATGGGGTCACAAAGAGTCAGACACGACAGAGCAACTTTCACTTTCACTTGCAGCTGACAGCCAGCACTAAACTGGGATTTTAGTCCTACAGACCTAGGAACTGAATCCTGCCAACAAGCTGACTGAACGTAGAGAAACATTTTCCTCAACACCTCCAGGGAAGAACTTAGTCTGGCAGCATGTCAATTTCAGGCTATCAGGCTGATCAAAAAGAGTACAAAATGGTGTGCTCGACCTCTGACCTACAGAACTGTGAGGTATTTTGAATGCCGTTTTATTCCTTTACATTTGTGGTAACTTGCTGCACGATAACAGGAAACTTATAATAAACTAAGCAAACAAAATTATTAATACAGGAGTAGAGATTAGGCGGATGGTTATACAGGATAGAAAATTAGCCATGTATAATGATATATGACTTCAACATTCTTTATATATGAACTCCGTGTACGTAGTCATACAAACACTAAATAGTGACCTAATTTAAATTATAATCTAACTATATGGGGAGGCTTGAAGGATAGGAGTCATGATACATAGGAAAATGAAAATTAAATCCTCATCTTCTATACAGGGAGGTCAAGAGATAATGATACACTATTTCGGTATCACCTCTGAAGGAAGACTTCTCTGATGACCCACATGAGGTCTTCAAATCTGAGACAAGTAACCCACCAAGTGCCCCACAGCACCCTGTTCTTACTGCTAAAAGAGCACTTAGCTGTCCAGTCTTTCCCTAGACAACCACATTCGCAGAAAGCCTGTCCTAGTCATTTCTGTTTCCCAGTGGCTAGTACCATGTATTGCATCTTGCAAGTGTTCAAAAACATGTTTATCAAATAAATGAATGCCTACTTCCTCTGCAGCCAACTACTGCAGGCGAGAAAGTTTATTTTCATTCATTATTACACTCCTCAATCAGACAGACTGTCAGCCTAGGTTCCTAGAATTTTAAAAAGGAAAACAAAAATAAAAACAGACAAATACTAATATCTGTCTACTAAATTTCAATAAATAAATAAATAAAAATGATAGTTGAAAGATGCAACAATTTCCATGAAAGGAAACTTACCAACAACCCTAATAATTATATAATTTTCTCAAATGACTGAAAAACTTATTTTAAGGCAGTCTCATTTTTAATGTTAAACATTATATCCTTTCTCCAAGAAGGGCAGATGATTACTTAGCTGAAAACTTGCACCACTGGCCTATATATACCCAGGGTGTCACAATGAAAGGAAAAGGTCCTATAGATTCCAAACATTTCCCGCAAGTTACTATAGCTTCCTAAGGTTTCCTGAGGTAACACTGCTTGAAGAGCACACCTCCTTCATAAAAATTTCAAATTGAGTCTAAAAACACATTTAACAGAGATATAAGGCAAAAGACATGAGGATCACTCTGTTCTGATGCTTACATGAGCAATCTCAGACTAACTGCTAACCTTTTATTAGCGTTTTTTCCTCATCTATTAAAGCGATATAATTTTTCAGGATAATCACAAGAATTAAAGGATAGACAAAAGTGCTTAAAAATTTTTTTTGTATCACTATCTATGTATCTAAAACTGTCTCAGATAGAAATTTATAACTGTAAAACTCACCATAAATATTTGGTGAAAGAATAAGTTTATGCTTCAAGGTGACTGAAAAAGGTGTTTTTTTTTTTTTAAAAAAAGACTAATATTAGTTTAACTTATTGGAACACTTTAGAGTAGTAATTCTTAATTTTGAAAGAGATCTCCCCATTGGAAAAAATCTATCAACTTTTGCAGCAAAGGCAATAAAAGTCACTTGTGCATCCCTGCACTCTCATTAAGTGCTTGCCTCTCCATTCTCTTACCATCAGACCATAATCCACCCTAACAGTTCAAATGAGAATTGCAGCTCCAGCTCTCTCTGAAATTTTAGGGTTCTCTCAAACTGCTACACATCCCCATACCTCAAAGTCAATATATCGAATATCAAATTAACTCCTTCCCTCAAAGGCAACTCACCTGTTTTTCTGTCTTCCCAACAAAATGAAAGGGAAAATTTTTACTTTAAATTAAGTGAAAATGGAGAGTAAGTTTATGCAGAAGAACCCTGAATACCAAGGAAACTACATGCAAAAAACAACTGACTGTAAAAATCACAAGTCTACTTTCTGGGGACAACCGCCTCTAATGAAAGAAATTGTCTTTTAAACGTAGAGAATGTTTTTTTAAATGTCAAAAAATGCTCATAGTAAACATAAAAAAAGTGTGTTTAAATTGTGTAGATCACACACGAACAAGAAAAATGTGAGGTCTTTTACTGCCATTAACACCAATCACATGAAAATAGTAAAAAAAAAAAATTTTAAAGGAGGAGAAAAAACAAAAAAACTAAACTAGAAACTGTGGAGAAGAAACTTACCTGAACAAGATGAATAAGTGTTGTCAGAATAGCACATCTCAACATATTGTGCTCTTCACTCTGCTTCCAAAGAAGAGGCAAATATTGTACCAAACATCCTACATACGGTCGTATCTATCACAATAGAAGCAGAGGAAGCAACAGAACTGTATTAGTAAAGAAGGTGACTTATTTTAGAAACACTGACAGACCTATCAGGTCCCAGGCAGCAAATGGTTAATACTTACTGGATGTAATGTATGAAGTAAATATCCTTTTAAAGATAAATTCGACAGCACATAGAGACACAGAGCTCTAGGGTAAATATTTTTAAATAATTTTAAACAAGCAGCAAATTTATTGCATGAAATAAAATTTAGGAATATAAAAGTTACTTCTTTAAACAGAAATAATAGAAAATGCTGTTATATCCTGGTTCTTTTTAATGAAACAACTTACATAATTGGCAATTATAATGTTTTTAAAAGAGTCAGCATTTCCTCATTCATTCAACCATTACCAAATGGCATCTTTCAAGTATCAGGCCCTGAAGACTAAGCACCAAGAAGAGGAGGATATAAAGGTAAACATATGAACCCTTAATCCTTTTCAAAGGATAAAACTGTTAACCCCAATATGGATTAACTTCACCAGTTTTAAAAAATATCCCCTACATCACACACAGCACAGCTTGATAATGAGATTTTTGGAAAATAAAATGGAACCTGATTCCACACAGAACCTGGAAACAGCGCTCCAGGTTTAGGCCTACAATCACCCAGTATTTGGAACTGACCTGATGACAGTACACTTGGTAATAAAACAAAACACTAGAGTTTCACAGTTTCAGTACTATCAATCCCAAGGATTAAAAATTAAAAATTTCTCCCATACATATGGCTGATTCACTTTGTTATACAGCAGAAACTAACACAATACTGTAAAGCATTATACTCCAATAATTAAAACAAAAAAATTGCTCCCAGAAACAGTAAGAGTTTCTTTATTCTGCTTATAAAACATCATACACTAAAAGTACAGCAAAAAAAATCTCTAAGATTTGTTCCCCCCCGGGTTTAGAGAGGAGATACCAAAAGATAAGAAGTTAAATATTTGCCCAAATATTTCAGTGAGATAAAACTGGATAAATATTAAGAGACTCTTCTTGTATCCAATTCTGAATCATATTATTTTAACATATTTATTGAGCACTTAATTTTGCTAAGTGCTCTATCTCAAAGATCCCTCCAATTAACTTATAAAGGCAGACCGGTTAATACATAAAAACAGGTTTCAGAGTAACTAATACATTCATATTCAACTAAAAACAGCATGTTTTACTGATAAGGAAAGTTTGGGTTTTGAACAAATTAAACAGAATATTTTCCAAGGCATGGAAGAAAGGAAATATGTGCTATGAATTATAGACAGGGAGAATAATAAAACCAAGCACCCAATTACATTTGAAAGTCATGAAATATTTATATACCAGTCTCAGTTGTTCATTAGAGTATGCTCTAAATTAAAATTAATGCTTCAAAGACACTATCTTAAAAACCACTCATATGATCTGAGAGAACAGCATCAAAACATGTATATTATCAAGTGTGAAACAGATCGCTAGTCCAGGTTGGATGCATGAGACAAGTGCTCGGGGCTGGTGCACTGGGAAGACCCAGAGGGATGGGATAGGGACGGACGTGGGAGGGGGGATCGGGATGGGGAATACATGTAAATCCATGGCTGATTCATGTCAATGTATGGCAAAAACCACTACAATATTGTAAAGTAATTAGCCTCCAACTAATAAAAATAAATGGAAAAAAAATTACTCATAGATTCAGTGTTGTAGAAGATTTAAAAAGGGGGCTGGCAATTAGAAAACAAAGTGATAACATGAGAGCCAAACACATTTCCTTAGGTTAGGAGGAGGGAGGTAAGTAAATAAATTATTGGGGCAACTGAGAAAACCTGAATATGGACTTGATATCAGAAAACAGTACTACATCAATGTTAAGTTCTCTGAATCTAATCATGATTATGATTAAAAAGGAGAGGTCTAATATACTAGGGTAAAGTGCTATGATGAAATAAAGTGAAGAATATATGGGTAGTGATTTACTACAACATGTCTGCATATTTAAAATTTTTCAATGAAAAGATGCAAAAGATAAAAAAATACTATAAACAGTTCTTAAAGTGATTATGCATTTTTGGTAGACCAATGATCAGTTATTTAAATAACATTTTAAAAACACATGGAACTAAGAATGTTTTATAGGTATCAGGCTAAACATCCCACAACAGAAACTGAACCATCAGCATAGCACAACTGAGACGACAGCACTCCTCTTCTGGCACTTCTACTCCAAAAAACAGAATGGGGTGGGGCTCTACTATGAGCATTATAGTCTTACCAGTTCATTCTACACAGGAAGATACCACTTTCAGTCATAGCACATTAGAAAAACAAGGGAAACTCGAATATGGGACAGACTAACAAATGTTTTAACAAAGGTTCGATTCACAAGGGAATTTAAAAAGTAAGTCTCTATTAACATCTCATTTTAGCTAACACTTTCAACAGAATATTGAACATTTCACACTGGCTCTTTAATTTTTAATTTTGTTCTTTTCCTTCAGAAATGCTTAGGTCATTAAGAGATGCTTACCTGACATCTTATCTGATGATTAACACATTTTTTCTTGACTGTGTATTTACAGAATCCCTGAACTGGAATAATTTATTTACAGGTTTTCGACTACTTCTTTTAAAAAAAAAAAAAAGAAGAAATATAATCTTCAAAAAATTTCAAGCTATGGTGTAAAGATGGTGATTTCCCTAAAACTTCAAAAACTATTATGTGTCAGAAAGTACTGCTGTAAGATGGCTCAAAATGTTTGCAATCTAGTAGACAAAATCATATTTATATACAAATGATACCTGAAGAATATCTAAGTGATGGTGTTGTTCAAAGGTTAACACAAGAAAATGTTTTTCCTGAAAACATTTTTCACGACCCTTTCCTATTCATGTTCTAAACACAAAAAGTATTAATGGATAACTATATCTTATTTACTAATGATATAGACATATGAGCTGCTTAGGCTATGTGTGCTGTGAAAGATAACCATGGATAGAAACAAAAGAATTTTTAAATTTACTAAGCAAGAGTAATGTTAAACTTGTGTGGGAAAAGGTTTAGTGGTTTTGGGAGATAGGGGTAAGAAAATTCATTTCTACAAAAAGAAAAAAAAAAAGCCTTCTTTAAGAAATTCCCATTAGCCAGATGATATCTAAATAAGATTATTTTAAAAACTGCCAAATCTTGCTTCTACAATATAATCAATTTTTAAATAATTTATTGCAGTTGTATAGTAATCTGCATATTGAACATTTAATATTAAATATCTGTGATAATTTTATACTCAGGAATCCTTGAGAGTTATCTTTACCATTGTATACATGAGGACACAAGGTTTAAGACCATATCCAAGCCAAAGAGCAGAGACAGGGACTTGAAATAAGTTTAAAACACAGTCTCAATGTTATAAACCAACATCAAAATGAAATAATGTACTTAATGTAATAAGAAACACAAGTGTTAAAAAATTGTAAGATATTACTACTTTTAGACACCAGGACTCAAATCTGCTCAAAATGATTAATGGTCACTCAAAACTGCAATGGGTGTGACATCAATATAACTGTTGAGTTCAGTTAGTTAGTCTGTCAGTGTTAGTTGCTCAGTCATGTCCAACTCTTTGTGACCCTGTGGACTACAGCCTGCCCGACTCCTCTGCTCATGGGAATCTCCAGGAAAGAATACTGGAATGAGTTGCCATTCCCTTCTCCAGGGGAGCTGGAGACCCAGAGATTGAACCTGGGTCTCCTGCATTGCAGGCAGATTCTTAGCTGAACTACCAGTGAGAAGGTTAACACTGAGTTTGAATATTATCAATGCCACTAAAACATCTGAACTTTGGCAAATTTCTTGAAGCCTCAAGTTGTTCGAGATAATGAATTCTAATTCCCACTCAAAGGTTTTTTTAAGGATTAAATGAGAAATATATGCAAATCACCTGGCACAGGAGTTGGAAACTTGTCATTACTCAATAATTGATAGCAATTCTCATCAATTGCTTAAGAATTAATAAGCAGGCTCAAGGCTGTCAGAATTCACTAATAGATTCAGGAGCAGACTCCAGGACTGTGGACTTAAATTCAGTTATCTTTTCCTAATTAACACCTCACAGATTTACTGAGCACTTTTCAAATAAAAATACGCAGTGTAAACTCACCAGCCCAGGTTGGATGCATGAGACAAGTGCTCAGGCCTGGTGCACTGGGAATACCCAGAGGGATCGGGTGGAGAGGGAGGTGGGAGGGGGGATCGGGATGGGGAATACATGTAAATCCATGGCTAATTCATTTCAATGTATGACAAAAACCACTGCAATGATGTAAAGTAATTAGCCTCCAACTAATAAAAATTAAAAAAAAAAAAAAGAAATGTAAAAAAAAAAAAAAAGAAATTACAGGATAATTACAGTGTGGTACCTGGATTAACAATTTTTCACAAACATTAGCAGTGATAAGGGAAACTGAATACAATTAAATAATAATTTACTGTTAAAAACTTTACATATTATTTTTACATTAAACCAGTGATGGATATAACATGGCCTAGACTGCAAAACACACTCAGTTTTCAAAGTACAAACAACAGATTTCTGAGAATATTTGTATTTGCTGACTGACACTTGTGACTATGCACTCAAACATATCAAATTTTAAAAAGTATTAGTCAATATAAACTGAATTTTATAAAAGATGTATAATTTTGCTTTCTAACAAACAACACTACATTGTTGATCCAATTTTTTATTTCTTCATTTTCTTAGGTCATTTTTTAAAAACACAAGTATAAAAGTCAATTTTGATACAGAACTGAAATCACAACCTAATAGAACCATTTTAATAAATGTTTTAACACTAAACAATGTGTACAAAGCAAAGATATTAATGAATTCTACATATACTCTACACATTTCTCTAACATTTACTTTCAAGTTGACAACAAAATTACCTGCACGTTGACTCTTTCAATCACACAAGAAAGGACATGTAAAACATGCATCTTTGTGTCACATTCTGTAACTTGCTGAAGTAACTGAAAGAGTAGTGTGAACATGGTTTCCAAATACTGTAGGTAAAAAGAAAAAATAAAAGTTTGGTACAGAAATGTAAAAAATCTTCACATAAAGACAGAAATAAGAAGTAAAAAAAAAAGAAAGAAATAAGAAGTAAAATTAAGTCATAATATCAAAGAAATAAAAGACAAATAGACAAAACCTTACCATTACCTATACAACTTCAAATTGGTTAAGTTGTCAATATTTAGGGTAGTGATCTTCTTTATTGCTGTTAAATGTGCCCATTTTCGAATTTAATTCACCCACAAATGTTTTCAGAGAAAAAGTGTGTCTAATTTTCTGTGTTTAAAATTTATACAGCTAATCCAACCTTTAAAAGTGCTTTGTCACTTCTTTTCCACATATGCCTATTGTTTTGCAAAGTCTACTCATTATAGCAAGAGGAATGCCATTACTGCACTCACATACCAGTTTTCTGATATAAATTTTTGTAGACAAACACTTGTAATTGTAAGTACAACAGAATGTTTCTGATTAGGAAATAGAAAACAAAAACCTATGTCTGACTTTTAACTTCTACATCATGAAAGTTATAGTAGAAATTAACAAATCACAGGATGTCAGATACAGAAACATCTGCTCTTTCAGATATTTGGTTCACCTTCAAACAGACTGGTAAAACATCTTCCTTTCATCCAAAAGCATTTAATGATTCTTCTATTAAAGAAAAATTTCTGTTCTACAAGTTTACCCATTTATGACTCCATAAGAAATATAGGCAGATATTTTATCATAGTTTTCTTGTCTAGCCCTATCAAGAAAACCAAACACTAAGGCCCCAATCATACTTACATATTTAACAAGTGTTTACTAAGTGACAACTATATGGAAACAAAATAGGTGCTGAGGGTTGAGTGAAGAAAAAAAAAGAGTAAGACTAGGTATTGTGCTTTTCAGGTAATTGGTACTCTTGTGTAGCATAGACATATACACACAGACAACAGAGGGGGATAACCTAAGGATGAAAAGTAACAGACAAATATGAAATGAAATGAGTAGATGTCTTATAATAGAACAAAAAGTGCAGCAGTCAACTCTAAAATGGATGACAAGATAACGAAACAAAAACACACACAATTATTAAAATTAAAGTTACCAATAAAAGCGATCACTTCCAAAATAATCTAAATATACTTTTGAAAGCAGTATACAATTTCAGCTGTAAAATAACACAATATTCAAAAGACATAAGCAGAGAAATTGTTTAAAAACCTGAAATAAATATTCTTACCGGCAGAAACTGATCTGTTCTAAACTCAAAATCATCAACAGGTGAAGAGCGGTTAAGGAATACTGAGAATACATGAAATTGAGAATATATGAAATTTATCAGGATAAAATATATGTAAAAACCAAATATAACAAACCAATCAAAAATTACATTTTAAACTATCTCATAAATTACTTTTTAAAAATAATTAATTTTAAAGTGTTGCTAAAATCCCTTGCAGTGAAGTATTTTTAAAATATTTAAAGGATATTTAACTTCAGAGTTGTAGCTGTTTCAATACGGACCTAAAAAGAAAGTATATTGTGAAATCTGAATCATTCTGGAATTAGTAAACATCATTAATAACGAATGAGAAAAAAATGTATCACATATCAATTTCTCTATCCTTTTTGTTAATATTAAAGTCACAACGTACATTAACATCTAGAAATAAAAGGACATTCTCCTTTGCAAGCAAGGGCTAAAAAGAAAAAGTAAAATGGTATCATTTCCCACCCTTCTCAGTTAACCATGATTTGCTTAATCCAGTCGATACTCCAGGAAGAAAAATAATTTGCCATAAATCTGCAGAGACTGTGGGACTGAGAGAAAAGTGAAGATGATGCCAGAGGGAAAGGGCAAGTTGAGAAGCAGAGAAGAGAAGCAGGAAAGCAGGGCGGGCCTAAGGAAGCTGGGGGATGTTAAGCGCAGGGAGAAGAGAAGGAAGAAGAACACAAAATGCCACTGTAACCTCAATTACAGGAAGTTCTTGAAACAACCAAAAGATAAAGTCTGCAATTTTCTAAACCTCAAAGTTCACAACAGCTTTGTACAAGCTCTTGACCTTGCCAAATCACATTTTTGTGTGTGTGTATCAGCATGTTATGTGGGAAAATCATATCACGACAGCATATTCTACATTTCCTTTCAGGTTTTACCTGTGACTTGGCCAGCTAAATGGCACAGGCTACCACACTTCATCTCCACATCAAGTAACACAAACTCAAGCCGTGAATAAATTCTATATGCTACTCTGCAAAATAATGTATCTACAACTTTAATCTCCTGACCAACAGCCTCTACTTTTTTAGGTGCTGTTACACTTTCCAAACCTATAACAGCAACTGGTTATTCCTTTGCAGTCATTTTCTACAAAGAAACAGTTCTGATCATTTTACAGGAGCTTCTGAGGACTTTAGGTGCTTATTAGCCATGTTCATCGAGTTAGCTAAGTACTCTAGTACTGTATCTAGAGATCCTAAGAACCTTGTGCGCAGCTGCTTTCTCATCTGCTTTTTCTTTTTGTCATTGTTTCTAAAGGTAACACAAACATTTCTAGATTTTTTAAATGATTTAACAAATGTGCTGATTATCCAATATACATAAAGCACTATGCCAAGTGTTCTACTATGAAATGACCTAATGAAAAGATGACATACTCATGCAATTAAAAATATTCAACAAGGAACTATTTCTCCCAGGCATTATGCTGGGTGTTGTAGAAAAAGAGTTGAGTAGACACACCTCCTCTTTCTGGATCACAACTCTGTTGTGACGAAGGTGATTGCCTAACTCAATGCAGCTGTGAGCCATGCCATGCAGGGTCACCCAAGACGGACAAGTCACAGAGTCCTGACAAAACATGGTTTGCTGGATATAGGAATGGCAAACTCCAGTATTTTTACCACAAGAACCCCATGAAAAGGCAAAAAGATAAGACACCAGAAAATGAGCCCCCCAGGTCAGAAGGTGAGGGCAATTACAAACAGCTCCAGAAAAAATGAAGTGGCAGGGCCAAAGTAGAAACAATGTCCAGTTGTGGATGTGTCTGATGATGTTGTAAAAAACAACACTGCATAGGAATCTGGAATGTCAGGTCCATGAATCAAGGTAAATTCGGATATAAGCAGGAGATGGTAAGAGTGAACACTGACATTTTAGTCCATCAATCAGTGAAATAAATTAGTGAACTAAAATGGACGGGAATGGATGAACTTAATTCGGATGACCATTATATCTATTAATGTGAGCAAGAATCCCTTAGGAGAAATGGAGTAGCCCTCACAGTCAACAGAAGAGTCTGAAATGAAGTACTTGGGTGCAGTCTCAAAATGGACAGAATGATCTCAGTTTATCTCCAAGGCAAGCCATTCAATATCACAGTAAGCCAAGCCTATGCCCCTACCACTGATGCTGAAGAAGGTGAAGTTAACCAGTTCTACAAAGACCTATGAGACGTTCTAGAACTAACACCAAAAAAAAGACGTCCTTTTCATCATAGGAGTTTGAAATGCAAAAGCAGGAAGTCAAGAGATACCTGGACTACCACACAAGTTTGGCTGTGGAGTACAAAATGAAGCAGGGCAAAGGCTAACAGAATTCTACCAAGAGAATGAACTGGTCATAGCAAACACCTTTTTCCAACAACACAAGAGACAACTCTACACATGGACATCACCAAATGGTCAATACTGAAATCAGACTGATTTATATTCTTTGCAGCCAAAGACAGAGAAGCTCTACACAGTCAGCAAAAACAAGATGGGGAGCTGACTCTGGCTCAAATCATGAGCACCTTATTGAAAATTCAGGCTTCAACTGAAGAAAGTAGGCAAAACCACTAGGCCATTCAGGTATAACCTGTATCAAATCCCTTAAGATTATACAGTGAAGGTTACGAATAGATTCAAGGGATTAGATCTGGGAGACAGAGTGCCTGCAGAGCAATAAAAGGAGGCTCGTAACAATGTACAGGAGGTGGTGACCAAAACCATCCCCAAGAAAAAGAAATGCAAGAAGGCAAAATAGCTGTCTGAGGAGCTGAGGAAAGAAGACAAGCGAAAAGCAAGGGAGAAAGGGAAAGATATACCCAATTGAATGCAGAGTTTCAGAGAACAGAAGGAGAGACAAGAAGGCCTTCTTAAACGAACAACGCAAAGAATTAGAGGAAAACAAGAGACTGGACAAGACTAGAGATCTCTGAATAAAACTGGAGACATCAAGGGAGCATTTTATACAAGGGTGGGCATGATAAAGGACAGAAATGGGAAGTACCTAACAGAAGAGATTAAGGTGGCAAGAATACACAGAACTATACAAAAAAGGTCTTAGTGACCCAGATGAGTACAATGGTGTGGTCACTCACCTAGAGCCAGGCATTCTGGAAGGTGAAGTCAAATGAGCCTTAGGAAGCATTACTGCAAACAAAGCTAGTAGAGATGGTGGAATTCCAGCTGAGGTATTTCAAATGCTAAAAGATGTTGCTGTTAAAATACTGCACTCAATATGTCTGCAAATGTGTAAAACTCAGCAGGGGCCACAGGACTGGAAGTGGTCAATTTTCATTCCAATCCCAAAGAAGGGCAATGCCAAAGAATGCTTCCATAAAATTGTGCTCATTTCACATGCCAGAAAGGTTATGCTCAAAATCCTTCAAACTAGTCTTCAGCAGTATGTGAACCAAGAACGTCCAGATTTACAAACTGGGTTTAGAAAAGGCATAGGAACCAGAGATCAAGCTGCCAACATTCACTGGATTACAGAGGATGCAAAGGAATTCCAGAAAAACATTTAGTCCTGCTTTATTGACTACCCTAAAGTCTCTGATTGTGCAGATCACAACAAACTGTGGAACTTTCTTAAAGAGATGGGAGTACCAGACCACCTTACCTGTCTCCTGAGAAACCTGTATGCAAGTCAAGAACCAAATATGGAACAATAGACTGGTTCAAAATTGGAAAAGGAGTATTAAAAAGCAGAGATATCACTCTGCTGACCAAAACACATATAGTCAAAGCTATGGTTTTTCAGTAGTTACGTACAAATGTGAGAGTTGGACTATAAAGAAGGCTGAGTGCCAAAGAATTGGTGCTTCTGAATTGTGGTGCTGCAGAAGATTTGAGAGTCCCCTTGACTGCAAGGCTGTATACTGCCACTCTTTTACTTAACTTGTATGCAGACTACATCAGGAGAAGTGCTGGGCTAGATGAATTAAGGCTGGAATTAAGAATGCCAGGAGAAATAATAACAAATTCAGATATGCAGATAATACCCTTCTAGTGGCAGAAAGCAAAGAGGAACCAAAGAGCCTCTTGGCAAAGGTAAAAGAAAAGAGTGAAAAAGCTGGCTTAAAACTCAACATTCAAAAAATGAAGTTGATGGCATCTGGTCCCATCACTTCATAGAAAATAGAAGGGGTAAGTGTGGAAGCAATGACAAATTTCATTTTCTTGGACTCCACAATCACTGCTGATGGTGACTGCAGCCATGAAATTAAAAGATGCTTGCTCCTTGGAAGGAAAGTTATGACAGGCCTAGACAACATACTAGGAAGCAGAGACATCACTTGCCGACAAAAGCCCATATAGTCAAAGCTATAGTTTTTCAGTTGTCACGTACAGATGTGAGAGTTGGACCATAAAGAAGGCTGAGCACCAAAGAACTGATGCTTCTGAATTGTGATGCTGCAGAGCATTTGAGAGTCCCCTGGACTGCAAGGAGATCAATCCAGTCAATCCGAAAGGAAATCAACCCTAAATATTCACTGGAAGGACTGATGCTAAAGCTCCAATATTTTGGCCACCTAATGCAAAAAGCCAACTCACTGGAAAAGACCCTGATGCTAGGAAAGACTGAAGGCAAAAGGAAAAGAGGGCGGCAGAGGGCAACATGGTTAGATAGCATCACTGACTCAATGGACAAGAATCTGAGCAAACTCCGGGAGATAGTGAAAGACAGGGAAGCCTGCTGTGCTGCAGAACATGGGGTTGCAAAGAGTGGGACATGACTAAGCGACTGAACAAGAACAAGATACACTTAGTCCTTGTTATCAAAAAGCTTACAATTCAGCAGGGGGAAAAAACACCCAGATATTAAATAATCATTAATAAAAATGGCTAATATGAAGAGCTTAAGAACAAGATAATTCCCTTGAGAACATGAACTATTTCTAGGATCTTCAAATTGTCAGTATTTAGTACATTGTGCAGAGAAGGCAATGGCACACCACTCCAGTACTCTTGCCTGGAAAATCCCATGGATGGAGGTGCCTGGTAGGCTGCAGTCCATGGGGTCGCCAAAAGTC